AAAATGAATTAAAGCACAAATGTGAGCTTGAAGTTCTGCTCGTTGTGCAGAAGTATAAGACGTCTGTATTATCTCTGTATAATACATGGCTATAGAAACCTGCTTTTCCTGAACTCGATCCATCAGTAAATATTGTTAGTGCTCCAACTATTGGTTAAGCACATACAATTTTGGGGAAAATAAATGTAGTCACAAGAGCAAACTGAATAATTTTATCACGAAGGTAATGGCTTTCCATTTGGCCAGGGAAATTAGCAAAAGCTATCGGCCAAGTGTTAGAAGACTGCCAAAGCCAATCCTGCTCTTGAGTAGAAAAAGGGCCAACATTCATATTAGGCTATGACCCAACTCTCTGAAAAACTCGTGTTCTTCCTTTAGTAACTAACTGAGCAATAAAGCCATGGCATGGAGTCGATGACTTTTGAGGAGAATGAGGTAGGCAAGGCCACTCAATAATTCCCAATTATCGCCACATTGCTCCTGTAGGGGTATGAAGAGTGGGAAATGTTAATCCATATACAGGCTCTTGTGGGTTAATTCTGGTAAGCTGTGCAGTCTCCGTGGCAGATTCAGCCTTTGTTACGGCAATCCTTTCTTCTGCCAATAGTTGATGGGAAGGTAGAGAAGGATCCCCCTGTGCAATCTGAAACAAAGGACACAAATCTGCACTGGGTAGTCTTAAACTTGGTCACAGCCAATGAATATCACCTAGTGACTTTTAGAGGCCATGTGCCTTGGGCAATCTATTGTGCTTGGGGGTGCTGCCGATATTTCCCAAGGTAAAACCTAAATCCCCATGGCCCCATAATGAGAGAAGACCCCAAGGAATTCACAGGTGACTCCCTGCAACTTAGTGAGGCCCTACCTCAACATAAAATATAAAAATGGCTGGGGACAGGTCTCAGTAGTAAAGTGCTCCTGGGTAAACCCCCAGTATAAGAAAAAACAAAAAACAACAAAGAAAAGAGCTGGAGGGCCATGCACATGTCAGACAAAATCAGCTGTGACAGAAATTGCTATATAGAGGCAAGACCATTATATATACTTGTAATTGCATATATTAAATTATATATTAAATATATGTGCATATTGATGATAAAACTAAAGTATATATTACATACCAATAGAGTGGGCAGTCTGACAAGCTACATTATAAATGTATACATGTCTAAAAACAGACTTCCAAAATGCATGAAATGAAAACTACCAGGATTAAAGGAAGAAACATTTCTACAAAAAGGGGTGAACAATTTGTGATATCCCACTTTCAAGAAAGAATGAAATAACGAGCAAAAAGTCCATGTAAAACAAAATGACTTGAACAATAATATAACTACACTAGTTCTAGAGGACTCTACAGAACATTCTGCCCAAAAGGTGAAATACACATTCTACCCCAGTGTGTAGGAAACATTGTGCAGAACTTGCCATTTTAAAGCCATAAAAAGGTCAATGAATTTAAAAGCGCAGAAATCAGGACAAGTATCTTTTGTAACTACAATGCAATTAAGTTTAAAAAACCAGAAAATTTAAAAATTTGCAAACATGTAGCAATTAGACAGTATACTCTGTAGGAAGAAGAAAAAAGAAAAAAAATAGAAAATAGTTCAGGTAGATAAAAATGAAGGCAAACATGCCAAAACTTATGCGGTGCAGCTAAAGCAGCCCCCAGAAGAAAATTCCTAACTACAAAAGCCTACATTACGAAAGAAAAACTACCCAAACAGAAACATGAATTTACACAGTAACTAGACAAAGAGGAGCAAGCTGTAATCAAATTGCACAAGTGATGGACCACAAGATTCTTAGCAGAAAACATGTAAAATCTCATGACCCTGCATTGGACAATAGATTCCTAGAAAACACTATTTTTCTTTTTTCTTTTTGGTACCAGGGATGGAATCCAGGGGAGTTTAACCACTGAGCAACATTCCCAGCCCTTCTAACAATTTTATTTAGAGGCCAATTGCTAAGTCTGGCTTTGAACATGTGATCCTCCTGCCTCAGCCTCCCAAATTGCTGGGATTAGAGGCAGGTGCCAAAAGATACTGCTTATAATGCCACATATTTGGAAAATATCTACAGGATTTTAGATATGAGGTTTATGATGTGGCATAATAAATTTTTGAAGGGTAAAGATAAATATATTTACAATTTAGTCACTATGATTTTTTAAGCTATAGCCTTCACCTAGGCCTCTGTATGCACTATTTGAAATTTCACTGTCCCCAATGGGGACTTCTATCTGAAAAACTCCAACCACATTTACCTTGTAGAAGTCAAACCTGGACATCCATTTATCTTAATCTATAGACTTAAATAAAGTTGAAATTTCTGAAGAGTAAAGATTATTCCTCTGGAGCCAAATGATCCATAGCCTTGTGTGGAGTCATATTAGCTGAAGGGCTGTCAAAGAAATAATATTAACTAATTACCTTCTGACCCCAAACTGACCTCTGTACACTTGTGGCTTTTCATGTAGTCAGGAACATGTTGTTGAGACACAAAAAAAGAGAAATCTTATAATTTTTTAACAAATCATGAATTATCATGGAAAAGGTTCTCGTTTTCACCAAACCCACAGAAGTGTCAACAGAGTCAAGACGAAGCCTGTTACAGTCAGAAATGTCTTTGTTCCTTTAATAATCATTTGTTGGTACTGAAAACTGAACTCGGGGATGCTTTACCCCTGAGCGACATCGCCAGTGCCTTTGTTCATATTTAAATTTTATTTTTTATTAGTGAATTTCAGTTATATGTAACATTAAGGTTTATTTTGACATGAAATCATACCACTTTTAAACGGGGATTATTCTAACTGATTAAAATAAATACGAATATTCAATAGCCACCAGCACATCCAAAGTAACCAAAATTTCCTCAACTGTTTTTTATGAGTTTTTTGCTTCTAGCTATGACACAAAGGACTTTGATCCTTTTAAAAAAAAATTTTACTTTTGTACATGATGTGAGGGACGTATCCAAATACTTTTTGTTTCTTCTTGTGGATATCTAGTCATCCCAGGGCCATTTTTGCTTTTGCTTTTACTCTTGAAAAATCTAAGGTGTGTGTGTGTGTGTGTGTGTGTGTGTGTGTGTGTGTGTGTGTGTGTGATCCCTCTGAACAACAGTTACAAATCGCCAGCCCCGACCTGCACAGTCAGCTGAACCTAAGGGCACTCGTGTGAATTTCCAGGGAACCAAATAAAACACAGACACACTTTACCTTCACACAAGCTTCAGGACTTCTTCTCTGCCCTTGGCCTCAGGATCCCCAAAAGGGAGGCCAAGAGGAAGGCAGGAGAGGCTGGTGAGAAAGTGACCACATTCAGAAGAGAGCTTTCATTGGAGGACTCTTGTTCTTAGAAAGTTCTATTCAAAAAAGGCCAGAGGGGGCAGGGTTACAAGAGACACGTGAGTATAACTCAACCCTCCTGGGAAACGCCTACATCTGAAGACCCCCCCCCCTCTATTTGAGCTGGGACAATGCCCAGTCACCACAAATGTAGTGACTGGTCAGAGCCTCCTGCTGCAGGACTGGAAGGCATGGGTCACTCAGAAGAGCTTCCCACATATCTGTTCTTTCTTGGAAAAAGCAGGTGATGGGTCATTATTTTGAGTCCCTGATTCTTCTTCTAGGGGCACAACATCCTACAATTACAACACAAGAGAGAATAAGTAGCAATGAGAACAATACAAGGATAGACCATGCAGAGTGTTTAAGAATGTTTCCAGGGTTAAAGCTGTTTACTCCTTAAGTATTTGATCAGCTAAAAAAGTAGGATCTGAAAAATCGACCTTACTTTTTTGTATATCTTGAATCTGATGATGCAGCTCCAAAAGAACCAAGCGGTTATCTTTCTTCTGCCAAATATCCAACAAATGGTTTTGAAGCTTCTCCCAATACCACTAAGAAGCTTTGCACTTGGCAGCAGTGACACACACATACTTATATCTAGCAGGACATTTAGGTCTTTCCTTGAATTTCAAAGTGGAAAGTGCATTATCTATATTCATGACAGCAGCCTCTAAGGCATTTAGCTTGGTCTCAATCTTTCATCAACATTTATTTGATTGTGAAGAGCCTTGGAAGTATTCTGAGCCAAATAATTAAGAAAATGTGCATGTTGAATATTTGAGATATGGCCACCAAAGCTGTCACCATGCAAGCAATACAAGAAACCAAGGGAACAACTCTCACTATTATGAGTCCAAGAGCACACTTAGGTCTCGCGAGCTGGGCGTGTATTTGTTGTAAGACTTGAAGCATCAGCATCAGCCTACCATGGCTCTGAAATATTTCCTGGTAATAAAGGAGGCCTGATGGAGCATCATCGTTCCTTTTCCTCTATTATTTCTGGTGATACAATTAGTTAAATTACATTCACTACATGTTACAAGATGTCTATCATCTTCCCTTTTAACTTTTACATTTCCTGTAATTAAAACATAAGGAGATTGAACACAGGCCCATAAGCCATAGCTAGAACCTTCCTTCTAGTTCTTGCCTACAAAGTCTGGTAAAGGTTTCTCAGTAAGATGTAAGACTTCTGAGGCAGCAATTAAGCGCCAAACATGTTTCTGCATGCCACCCTCGCTGAAGGTCAGGATGTCAATAAGTATGGAGACTCCTTGCAAAACCAGCATGGAACCACCATTTGACCCAGCTGTCCCTCTCCTGGGACTGAAGAACAGCACACGACAGGGACACAGCCGCACCAAGGTTTACAGCAGCACAATTCACAACAGCTAAACCCTAGAACCAACCTAGGTGTCCTTCAACAGATGAATGGATCAATAAAATGTGATTTTATATATATATCCCCCACCAATTGAATATGACTTAGATTTAAAGATGAATGAAACTATGGCATTTGGTGGTGAATGGACGGAGTTGGAGAATATCATGCTAAGTGAAATAGGCCAACACACACACACCCACAGGAAAACAGAGGCCAAATGTTCTCTCTGGTAAGTGGATGCTAACTCACAATGGGGTGTGGGGAAGATAGAGACTTAATCTAAAGTAGAGAGGAGTGCAGGGAGGGGAGGGGATATGGGGATAGGAAGGATAGTAGAGTGAAACAGACATTACATATAAGATAATAAATATTATATATATTATATTATACATATTATATATTTAATATATATAAATATTATATGTGGGCACTAAACCACTCAACAAGGGACGGGGAGATAATAGAAATCCAGTGGATTAGACAAATTTGGAACGAAGGGAAGGAAAGGGAAATAGGAGTACAGACAACAGTAGGATGAATGAGACACACCTTCTCAGTGTTCATACATAAACACACCACCAGGGAAGGTCCACAGCATGTGCACCTCAAGAATGGAATGCTAACTAAAATGAGTTTTCCTCCATGAATAATATGTCAAAATTTGCTCTACTGTCATGTATACCTAAAAAGAGTAAGAAATTTTAAAAATGATGAGGGAAAATTTGTATACCGAGAAGGTTTGTGAGTGAAAAACTCTTCAATAAATGCTAATGTCATTAAGGTTAAATAAAATTATAAAAGAGTACCTTGAGCCCCTACAAAATAATAAACAATGGTAAACAGAGTTGCCCCAGTCAGTCTGTGCAACTATATTATCACAAATTTTTTGGTTTGCAACTCTTTTCTATTTGTTTTACAAAGCAGCACAAGAACAATACTTACTTACAAGTTGAGCAGAGCGGAAACATTACACAGCAGTGTTATGAATACTATGAATTGTGCTGTGGACACTCAAAGCGTTCTCAACTTCCTCCCCCGTCCGATAAAAAACCATGCAGTTGAAGACACACTAGTTACTGATTAGATGACACATACATGTGTTTGTGACATTCAGTTTGTGGGCAGCTGCTCAACTTGGCAGGTCAGGTACAATAGATAAGGATGACACTCTCTTCACACAAGACAGTGTTTCCTTGAGTCATACTATGAAAGCAAGAGAGAAAGCAAAAGGGAAAGACACAGGCAACTCTATTGCAAGACTAGGAAAACCCAACACTGAACCTATGTACTGGGGAGTCCCAAAGAGCTTTTCAGGGTCCTGACTGGGAAGTAAGTGAATATTTTTTTATTAAAACTCTTGCCACACTCTTTACAGTTGTAGGGCTTCTCTCCAGTGTGGATTCTCTGGTGATTTTTTAGGCTTGGTTTTTGATTAAAAGCTTCGCAAACTTGTTTACACACGTGGGGCATCTCTTCAATGTGTATCCACTGGTGACAAATAAGATTGGAGCTTTTATTAGAAGTTTTGTCACACTCTTTGCTTGGCATACCTCCTGTATGAACACCGTGATGTTGAGTAAAGTTCTTGAGTGTGTTGCGCTCTTCTCATTGGTAGGTCTTCTCTGCAGAAAAGAATTTTTGGTGTTGAGTAAGAGTTGAACAATCTTCTAAGGCTTTGCTAGACTTTTTACATTACAGGCCTTTTCTTCAGTATAAACCCCCTTATTCCTAACAAGTTGTACCTTTCACTAAATGTTTTTCTGCTTTCTTTTAAATTTGGAGGGTTTATCATTGTCATAGTATCTGCTGTGTTTAAAGACTCTATTGGCTTGCTCAACATCTTCTAAACGTACAGGGCTCTCCTTCTCTATAGACTCTCTTGTATTGAGCAAGCTCTGCACTGTCACTAAGAGCCCTGTCGCACGCCTTACACGTACACGTTTTGTCTTGACTATGAATATTTGGATGAGAAATAGCTTCTGAGCACTGAAGCAAGACTTTCCCACATTTTTCATTTTGGTAAACCCCATGACATTTACATATAGAAAATTTCAATTTCTACATACATGGGCAGAATAAAAGGCCAATCAAGGTAAAATACAAAACTCATAGGCAAAAAAAGGCTTAATATTTATCCAAGCAAAAGCACATATAATATTATTGGCAATACAAACAAGAGTCACGCATATCTTAGTTTGTGAAGGAGTTAACTGATATGAGGAAACCCAGTAATAACACGGAACGGACTGTACACAATGAAAAAAATAAAGAAAAAAATCAACCAACCAAATTGTCAATATGCACAGATGTATTCTTTTACAAATCCTCTTATTCAACTACAATTTACACCATCTCTCAAAGCAGCAGTCTTTGTCCAACTTGACTTTCATTCCATGGCAGATAATTTTAGAGAAAATCCATTACACATATCAGAAAGAACACTGATAAGGAAATTTTAATGAAAAAATGTACAAATAAGATTAGAGAAACTGACTTATGAGAGTAATGTATTACAACGGGTGGACTAGAGGTCTCCAGAAACGTGCAGAACTTTCCTGTGAGTAATGAAGAGGGGCTGGAGTTGTAGACTAGTGGTGTAGGGCTCGCCCAGCATATGGGAGGCCCTGGGTTCGACCCTCAGCACCACATATGGATCAATGGAAAATTCATTAACAACTAAAAATATTTTTAAAAATGATGGAAAAGCCGTCAGATAATATTGACACTCACAAGGCAAAGGGAGAGTTTTGTTGTTAATTTGAGTGTACGGAGACATTACTGGGGGAAAAGCAGGAGACTAGATAATTTTAAAGCACAAAACAGAGAACAGGTTCTTCTATGATGACAAGAGAAAGAAATCAAAGCTTCTCAAAAACCCTTTCTGCTGGATAATGTCTCAATCAACATTTTTGATTATAGGCTTCCTCCCCTACCTCAACTATGTCCTCTGCTATATGTGGGCCACAGGATTCGACATCACTGCATTCCTCTAAGTCACCCTTATGTCAAGTGAAGGATGTTCATCATGGCAACGAAGGAAAACATTAAGGATGAAAATAAACATCATTAACATTGTCTTGTCAGCACCAAGAACTACCCCATCTTCTTTATTGAAAGCATAAATCTGCAACACATTCTTATGGTGAAGTTCCCAAAAGATCTACTTCAAGGGAATAATGATAAATAGGAATTTTGAGGGAAAGTTATGCTCACCCACAAACAGCAGGTTGCTGTAGTTCTCCAACATCACTTCTCTATGTAAATTCTGCTGAGCAGGATCCAGGCATTCCCATTCCTCCTCAGAGAAATCAATAGCCACATCCCCGAATGTCAATGGCTCCTGAAATACAAATTGGTAGATCAATAGCACATGGACAAAACCATCATTTAGTTTTTAGTTTTTATTCATGTAGGAGAGTGACTTTAATTATGTAATAAGATACTTTGCATTATCTAATTCAGAGGAAAATACATAAGTCTAAAAACAGTATATATGCTCCATATCAGAGTGATGTGAAGGATATATACCATAACCCAAGCACTGAATAAAAGCCCAACTCCTAACTTTTCTGCCATCAGTGAATGTGAAATTTGGCAGAAATTCCAGATGCAAATCAGACTTGTCAAAGATATTCTCATCAGGTGATTGTGCACAAGGTAGACAAAAAGACTGGTAAAAAAGCTTTTGAAGACAGTCTGGTTCCTATTCTCTCTGCTTTCTATCCATGAGATAGATTGAGATCCCCAATACAATTAGTTTCCATTATCATCCATGAAAAATTCCCAATGTGCAAAATATTCATAAAATATTAATGTTTGAAGACAAGTAAAGTGACACTTCCACCTCGTGAAAAGACAAACTTGAATTATTTCAAGTTCTATAAGCAGTTCAACGAATGAATCAATTTGGTACAATAGAATGAACAATGGGTCACAGAAGACTTCAAGGAGGAGATTAGAAAATTCTTAGAGGTAAACAAGAACATAGACACAACATACCAAAATCACTTGGACACTATGAAAGCAGTACTAGGAGGAAACTTCATAGCATGGAGTTCATTCCTTAAAAGAAGAGAAAGTCAATAATGATCTCATACTTCATCTCAAAGCCCTAGAAGAAGAAATCAACAGCAAACGCAGTAGAAGGCAAGAAATAATTGAAATTGGAACTGAAGTTGAATTAAAAGAAACAATTAAACCTTGACAAAAAGTTGGTTCTGACAGAACCCTAGCTATGCTAATGAAGAGAAGGAGAGAGAAAATTCAAACTACCAGCATCCATGATGAAAAAGGCAGTATCCCAACAGACACCTCAGAAATAGGATAATTAGAAATTATCTTAAAAATGTATACCCCAATAAAACAGAAGACATTGAAGGCATCAACAAATTTCTTAATTCTTATGATATGCCCAGATTGAATCAGGAAATATACACAATTTAAAGAGACCAATGTTAAATGATGAAATACAAGATGCCATCAGAAGCTTATCCACCAAGAAAGTCCAGGCCCAGATGGATACACTGCCGAGTTCAACAAGACCTTTAAAGAAGAAATTCAAAATACCAATATTCTTCAATTTATTTCAG